CCTATGCAATCCCTAAGATGCCCCATAAACCATGTCCATGAATCAGAGGTTTCAGATTTGCCAACCCCGTAAGCTATTGGCAGTATCCCATTGTTAGCATCCATGGCTACTGCTAATAAGTTTACTCCAAGGTATCGACCTTTTAAATGTGCTCCGTCAACTATAATAACTGGGCGCATGCAATTAATAAACGAACGAATCTACAAAATCATATACACAAGAAATATAATTATTTAAATGTGAAATGCATGTAACTAACAAAAATGAGTCAACAAAATATATTGATTTACTAACCGCAGCACCAATGGCGATAAAGCAACTCAAAGCGTCCATCTCTATCTGTTTTGATATGAGTTACCGACCCAGGATTTTTCAGCTTTAAATTGTGACAATAAGCCGGCAGTTGGGCAAACGATGCTTCTGGCGACCCCCTCAACAATTCCAAGGCATAACATTTGGCTCTCCAAGCTTGAGAATATGAGATACTAATCTTGAACCGAGCATTCATGTCAGTCATAATTTCATGTCCCCGATATACCCTACCATTCAAAAACATTAACTCAGCCAGAAAACCACCCAACACCTTTTTGTTTGCCTGTCTATAGTGAGGAAAAACTTGGGTTCTTGAACATGTATGTTTATCAATAAAAGTCCTAACTTGAAACATTTCGCAATCTTTTATCCCCTTTGCAATCATACGCCACATACAGTTTTTGTCAATCATACACCTTGTTTCGAAACGATCTTTGCTTGATTTGTTAACTTTTAGTTGATAGCCATCTTCCACACATTTTGTATACAAAGCTATCTTCAAGTCTTCCTTTGTATCAAAACAATAATCTTTCTTGATACGAATAATTTTTGTGTAACAATCAACTGCTATCTTTACCAACTCTTCTTCCGGTATCTGAAGTAATTCTGGCATATTCCAGTTATACTCCCGTGGCATTTTCTTCGGGGACTTTTCTTTGGGGATTTCTTCTTCAGTGTTATATGAATTACAGAATGGATGTTCAACATGTTCATTTACAGTCGTAACTTCCTCCTCATTATCATCAACAACATCTTCCTCGACAACGGCTGTTTCATCATCAAAATTCGGGTATTGACCAATATCAAAATCATTACACACAGGGTCTGTTTCTTCTTCTGAAAAATCATCAAAATCCGAGTATTAACCAAGATCAAAGTCCGGGTATTGACCAAGATCAAATTTCGAATACTGACTAGTACTCACAATTTTTTCTGTTGGCTCATCATCGTCTAACTGGTCAATACGAAAACCGGAATTTGATGCTGAAAGTTGATTGGATTTGGATTAGGAAAAGGTTGTGGGTTTTGAGATTGTGTTTGGTATTGGAAATGTGGTGAAACGATATTTGCTTAGTGATGAAATTGTGGTGGAACCATTAAATTTTGAGCACCATAAACTGGGGTTGAAAAACTTAGTTGATTACTACCCGCTACTGACCCAACTTCACTACTTCTAGGTTCAACAACATACAATGTAACATCATCACTTGAAACACTAATGTAAGCAATGAATCGTTCAACATCTTCATTGTCGGTTAACAAATAAACTTTACCATTTCTCTGATAAGATAGCCTAAATCCACTTAGGGGCTCTAAATTCAATTTATTTGCAACACGTAACATTAGAGTTTCATAAGTTAACTTTTTTAATGACAGTTTTAGTTGAAGATTCATGGGTAAAGGCATATATTGTAAAACGCCATGAACATTCTCCCATGACCCTCCAAAACACAAATCTATCCAAACATGATCAATATTAGATGATTTCATTATTGTAAATTAATTTACTAAACAAACGAGCTGCGAAACTAAAACCTGTTGCCGGATGGGGAAGGATGTCGTTGGATATAGGAACGGATGTCGCCGGAGAGAGTGATAGATGGAGATGGAATGAGTTACGATTTAGGGATTTAGGTTATGAGTTGTTGCTGTTGCGTAGTTATATACCCAAAATATTTGTGTTGCGAAATTAAAACCTGTTGCGAATTTAGAAATCGAGTTGCGAATTTGAAATTCAGTATTGTGATAGTCAGAATCTCGTTGCGATTTACAGATTTGCATTGCGATTTACGTATTCGCATTGCGATTTATGGATACGCATTGCGATTTACGTATTCTCGTTGCGATTTACGTATTCTCGTTGCGATTTACATATACGCGTTGCGATTTACGGATACGCGTTGCGATTTTACGTATTGTTGTTGCGATTTACGGATACTCGTTGCGATAGTCAGAATCGCGTTGCGATTTATATGTTCGCGTTGCAATTTTCATATTCGCATTGCGATTCTGGAAAATCGCAATAAGAATTTGTACTATCGCATTGCGATTCTTCATAATCGCGTTGCGATTCTGGGAATTGATTTGCGATTCTGGAGATCGCGTTGCGATTTTTATTTCGCATTGCGATTTTGTTGGTCATTTTGGCAAATCCAAAAAAAATTGATTAAAATCATATATTATAAGGCATTTTTTGTGACTGAGGTTATTTTCTCTAAAACAATTTGCTTTTTGCAATAAAGGAAAATGGCATAATGTTATCCTGTGAGAAAGAACGGTAGGTTGACAGGGCTGGGCTGGCTTTGAAATTTTAAGAGTTTTAAAGTTAAACCCAAACAAGAATAAATAAATAAATAAAAAAGCAAAGATTTGACATATTCGGGCCCAGGGAAGAAGAAAACATAAACCTGTTTTGATATTTCAACCTGGCTGAAAAAGGGGTTTGTCTTTGGAAACAGAAATCAGAAGAAAATAAATGGTCTTTCTTTGATTCCATTACTCAGTCCCCTGTAAAATGAAGTGCTGTGATTAATCCTTAGATCCGGGGTTTCTGAATGCTCTTTTCAATTTTCTTTTTCTCGATCCCTTTGATCATTTCTGTTGTAAAAGAAAGAAATGTTGAAGTTGTGGAAATTTTATCAAAATTGTTTGGCAATCCACCCAGTGAAGACACGGGTTGTAAGCTCGGGCTTGATTTGGGGTTTTGGTGATATAGCTGCTCAAACCATTAATCACTCAACCGCCAAGAAACACCATCATCTTCAGGTACAATCAGAAGCCATAATATTTCCTACTTTAAAAATCTGGGTACTCTTTAATTCACAGTATTTTCCTGAGTTTGACTTTTCTGATTTTCGGTGAATTTTGATATTGTTCTTGATGCCATTGAATTATTATTGTAATTGATCCCCTGATGAAATTGGTATCTTCTTTATGGGAAGTAACCATAGAAGCATTTTTTTGTGGGTTTTACATTCTTGGCATTTCTCTCAGTAATTGAGGTTATATGTTGATTCTTGTTGCTCTTGCTTTTAATCTGCCAATTTTATGAACATTTAGAACAAGCAAGCTTGCATTATTTGAATGATTTATTGCATTTTTCTTGGTTTGAATTCTTTAGAAAAGGAATCATTTTCTCTGTTGATTACATGCATTAAAGATGGCCTTTCTTTTGCTTGCTAGCTGAGTTTTGCATCAATTACCACGTTTTCGACCTCATGACCTTTAGGCTAGCTCTGACCTGCTATGCTTCATTATTCCGACTCTTCATTTTTCTTGAAGGAGAGATGTCTACGGCGACATCCATATCCTACATATAGACATGGGTATGGGAACATGATCCTTCAAAGACCTTTCAAGTAAATGGAAACTTTGTTAAGAACTGAACATACCTTTTGTTGGACACATGCCAGTATCCGACATTCTCACCAGAACTTTGAGTAACGTAGATGCAATGAAAAGCGAGATTGTGGAGTTACCTTAGATTAAATCCCGGTTATTCCTACTGTATAAAGCTAATCACTCAGAAATAATTTAACTATTGTAATTTGTAAAGATGTCTACAGTGGAGACATTGCATTCTGTCTTGTGTTTATCTAAGCATCTTTAATTTTGTGATTCTTTTTTGTAGCTTATTTCTTTCAGTAGAATGAATTTCCTTGCTGTTTTTTGTATGTATCAGGAAAAGGATAAAAATTTAAAGATTAATTGGAAAACGAGTGGCTACTACAAGCTTGTTCGGGTTCGGATTTGTTGGACCAGTTGGTCATTACTGGTAATTTAAGAATGTTTGATGCTTGCTTTTTGCATCTTAGAGTTTGTATTACATGATCACCATGCATCGGAAAACATTTAAGAATGTTTGTGGTAGCTACTTCTTCATTTTTTATTTTTAAGTTGAACTAGGTGACCAAATTTTTCATGGTTAAAATTTGCATGCTCAATTTGTTTTCTATATGCAAACCCTGTGTTGGAAACTCTAACTTCTTGGTAACATTTGTAGGTACGAAGGTTTGGACCGATGCATAAGGTTGCGACTTCACCTACGGCCAAATTCTTTCCGTTTCGTGGGTACTAAAGTCGCAGTCGATGGTTTTATCTTTGGGCCATTGGATTTACTTGTATTTTTCACTTACATGGGATTTTCTGCTGGAAATAGTGTTCCCCAAATCAAAGATGTAAAGGAGATTTTGTCCCGGCATTCATTCTCGAAGGAGGGTTATGGCCGATTGTTCAGTTTGCAAATTTTCAATACATACCAGTAAGATACCAACTTCTGTATGTCAACTTATTCTGCTTGTTGGATAGTTGTTTCTTGTCGTGGGTCGAGCAACAAGAGGATGCCCCATGGAAGCAATGGTTGAATTCTTTGATACCTTCCGGGGAGAAAACGGATGAAGTTGGATGACTTTTTTGAGCTTTGATGTTTTGATGCATTGAAGGACCTGATGGCATCATTGTGCATATTACGAGTTAAAAAAGGGGTTTGCTACCCTTCTGGATACAAGTTAACATTGTTATTCTTAAGTCTCAATCCTCTCAATAAATGATCTTGATCATTCTCGTCGCCACTGGTAATTGAATCAATATTCAAATCAATCCAAATTCATTAAATCAAATTCTCTTTGAAGATAACATAAACTTCTTGGGATAATGTTGCTATTCTGGAATCAATTGTGTAAAAGAAAGTGTACATTTCGATCATATTCAGTGACATCTATACATACCAAAAGGGAGTTTAACAATTCTATCTACAAAATGGGTTTTCAGTTTAATTTGAATTGAAATAGTAATTGAGAACGTCCTTACCCAATGCCCATAGCCATTAAATATAGTAGTTTTAGGGTTCATGGAGTGCCAAACTTGGACAATACTAATTCGAAAATGGTTGAGAATGCCTGGGATGTACTTTGATCTTCACTTGGGCTTATGCCGATGATGTGTTGATTATACATTCAACGAGATACTCAGATGATTCCTCAAATTTCTGCGCAAAGAAGAAAAACTTGAAGTTGGGGAACTGACCACCTGATGCTATGCAGTGGATGGAATGACTTTGCATGTGTCAAAGTAAAGCTCGAGGAATTGTAAGTGCTGCAACAGCTTGAGGGCTTAGTGAGAGTTCCTGCACCAAATAAGTACATGTTGAGTTCTGAAGAAGGTGTGGATAAATAAAGACATTTTCTGCTCCAAAATTCTCTGCAATTGTTAAAAGCAGATCCTTGTCATTTTCTTCCACTCTCTGACTAGAAGCAATATTATCTGCTGCTTCACGAATAGATAGATTTCCAAGTTCATCTGCAAACTCAAGTGGACCCTTGTGTTCCTTATTGTAAGCACCATTTTTTTAACATGCTACCCACGTGAATTTGTCTCCAACATGCACCCCATGCACTTATGCTTGCTGCTGCCCATGCTGCACCGTTCCCCACACCTTGCTGCCCATGCCACCATGCTTCCATCTCCACGCCAGCAGCCACACTCCACCCTATTATATATCAACCAAACTCAGAAAACAAAGGAGGAGAGCAAAGAAAACCGGGAGAGAAAATAGGAAAAGAAGGGAAAAGGAGACTTTACCTTTCGGGAAAGAGTGTCCATCGACGCTTCGTCGGAGTTTGGAGGGTCGTTTGAGCACCGATGGCTTTTGGGTTTCCTCGTCTGTTGAAGAAGAAGAGAAGGGGACAGTATGGATGAAGAGAGGAGAGCGGCTGGGAGAGAGCAAACAGAAAAATAAGGGATTCAAAACCCTTAATGTAGTATAAATACATGATGAAACGGCGCCGTTTTGGGCTCTAGGGTTTCATGTCATCGGCGCATGGGTGAATCACGCAGGGAGGTTCTCTGGTTTGTAAAAGTTGCATTCTGATCACTTTATAAAAATGTTATATTCCTATTTCGAGATCGTTAATTATTTTATGTTCTATTTTAGTCCTCATCAGTATACTATTATTTGTTTATATGTCATACTATGGGCTGTTGATTTTGCATAATATTCATTTCGATCCTACGTATATATTAAGATATAAAATTGTGGATTTCATGTTCTGGTTTTCATATTTAGCGTAATATTCATTTTAATCCTGTATTTAAAGCTTTGATACTTTGGGTTTATTGCTTGTTAATCCTTGATGATCTGTATTTTTATTTCCTGAAATTATTTTAATTAATTTGTTATTTTTTATGTATGTATTTATACATTTTTATGTAAGTGTATATTATATTAGATTACATATGTGTATATCTTCTTAATATTTTAATCTTTTTGTAAATATGATATGTCTATATTTTAACATATCTTATTCTAGATGCACATTTTAATCTGAATTTGTAACTTTATTTATTGACAGTTATTATTTCATGTATATATGCATATATATATATATAGAGAGAGAGAGATATATATATAAATTAAATTAATGTAAGTATTTTGTATGAAATTTACTTCATGTGTTACGCATGTACTTATTTTATTTATGTATTTCAATTTATATTTTCATATTGGATCATTACATAATTAAAAATGTATTATTTTATTTCTAGCTATCGATTTTAAATTCCTTTATTTGCCATCACTCGAATGAAATTTCAAGAATTTGTATTTGTAAACGGGCATGGAAAGTATCACTTGATCGAAGTGGTACAATCCGACATGACGTTCGAACGAAATTGGTCTTGAAATAAATTTAGTTCATTTTACTAATTAATTTGATTTTGATTCAAATGATGCAATGTGTGTTATTTTAATTCCCAATTTATTGCATGTGAATGCAAATCGACGATTTTTTATTTATATTCGACTCATACATTTGTTAATGAGAGAATATTCTTTTTGATAAAAAATAGTCGAGTTAGTTTTCCCGATGGAGGATTGCTAATTTCGTGTTTCTTTTCGAGGTAAAGAATTTTCTGTAATTAATTAATTCGAAACAAATTAATTAACGTTCAATAAATGGATCATCTTTTCTTTATATTTGATTTATGATTTCCACCATTTACGACAATGTGTAAGCGACACAATACCAATTTTAGGCGTTGTGGAGGTGTTTACCCTCCCCACACGTAACCCAAAGGTCAATGGCGACTCCTTTTTCAATTTAATCCAAATCGATTCAAAAAACCGACCCATTTTCAAAATCAAAGTCATAACTGTTTTTAAAATAATATTTACCTAAAAATTACGACAGCTTGGCGACTCTGTTGGGGACTATTTTTAGAGAGTCAGGCTAAAATCGCTTACACATTGTTGTTTTGGTGGAAATTATGAGTTCGAGGTTTTAGTTAATTTGATTCATTTATTGAAGTTTGTAATTCTTCATTTTTTTATACTAACATTTTGATTTTTGTTTTCAGATCTGTCCAAGTTTTTATCGAGTGTTTCGTTTTACTTTTGAGTCGAAGGTAAATATGCTCCTCCTCACACATCACCTGCAATTGCATGACATGAGCTCTAGACAGCTCCGAACCCTTTTAAGTGGGGGTGAAAGCGACGCCTTCGTGGGAATTTATTCTCCGTATGGCCTAGCAAGTAACCTTTGGGATTCATATACCTTATGTCTTCGTGTGAATTTATTCTCCGTGTGGGCATAAGGGAATGTATCCCCTCGAATTGAACTCGATCCGTTTAAGCCTATAATGGGTGAGGATTGAGGGTTTGGCAGCCCAAGGGAACACCGACATCAAGGACAATTCGAGTACTTTTTCTTCGTTAGAGCCGAAACGATACATAAGTGAACCGTAGAACGGTCAACATATGTATGGTCATACCGAACCTCTGTCCGTCAGTAGGTAGCCAAAATAGGTATACACAAAGGAGGAGCGTTTCTAAACCCTATTTTTTGCTTTAAGTTCGTAGAATATATTTATTTTTGAATAAAAGCATACGAACTAGATACCATGCGATTAGGATTAATTTCTCGAAAAATCATTTTGGGTAGATAACATGTATGAGTATGAATGTTATCTAATAAAGCATGCTCGGGTAGATATCATGATAGGGTAGATGGAGATGTATTTCATCTTTGAATAATTTTTATCTGTATCGACTGTTTTACTGTACTAACTACTTTTCACTTATTTTGTTGTGCACACTAACTATTTTTTCTTTTGTTTATGTCATATTTCATCATTTTTGCATACATTGCATCTCATAACATAATACAAGAGTGTTGATCAGCAAGGGCATATTCATGAGAAAATCTTCACAAGAAGAGATAAAAGTTTTCAATCAAGCAATCACATACAGAGACATACACCAAGGGCTAAAAGAAGTTCTGAGTACAAGAATGAGACTTGCTCGAAGACCGTGCAACATTCGAGACTGAAGTGATGATTCACTGATCCGAGGAGTGATACAGCAGAGGAGTCTTATCTACGATCATCTCATCATTTATCACCAAAGAGCAACGCACTGGCTTCAACACCGCCAAGGCATTAACGGAGTTAGTTTACAGAGCATTGAGGGGCATCAGTTCCAATACGAAGATCCTAGATGAAACAGTGAGCTCGAAGATTATGCAACATTCGAGACTAAAATGATGATCCATCGATCCAAGGAGTAACCCAGCAGTAGATTCTCATCTGCGATTATCTCATCGCTAGTTATCAAGGAGCGACGCACTAACTTTCGCACCGCTGGGGCATTAACAGTTAGGATACAAATACTTGAGGGGCATTTTCAAGTAAGAATGTCCAAGATGAAGCGACGATCCACTTCAGACTCATATCTAATCGATGTCTGTAAAGTGAACGTCTTGTAATGTGAAAGCTTTTATCACTAGTGAAAATTATTCTACGATATTCATCGTTGGGATCAACATTTTTACATCTGCATCTACATTTGCATTTGCATCTTTGCATTTTGCATTACATTTCATTTTTAAGCATTTTCATGAAAAATATTCATGGAGGATTCTATAAAGTGGTCATAACCACGTTACACCAAATAGAAGCAAAAAGCTAAAATCAATACAGTTGGAGCTTGTTCAGCTGGTGGTAGGACTAGCCTTCTAGAATGATCTGAGAAAAAGTCCCCATATCCCGAGGGCTACGATGTTAATCTCATGTACAGTTACCACATAGAAAGCTTCAGACATTCCGCTGAGAACTGTAAGGACTGAAGCGCAAACCTGATAAATTCAGGGGCATGGAAATCAAAGAAGAATGGGGGCATTGTATTTACCATTTTCATCGAGAGCATTCTTTTGTTTGAACACGTTTTTTTATGTCTTTCATATTTGTTTGAGCTTTTAAACGACTGAATTTATGCTACCTTCTAAGGTGAATAATGAACGAGTTTTAATCTTTAGTTCTTTGAATATCGAATGAATTAAGGATTCTTTTAATTCTTCAAGAATTATAGATTTTTGACATATGACAAGATTAGACCTTTCTTTCCTGTCCAAAGCCAAAATAAAATACCTTGATTCTTTACCCAAAATAACTCATGGTCATTACCAAAAGACCAAATTTTGACATTACCTTTCCTTGATACACAAAGAGTCATACCCATACCTTTCTTTTTGAGTCAAAAGTCACACCATTGTCTTCTTAAAGCAAAACTGACATTTTTATACCAATAAACCTAAAGACATTGAGTACAAGATGTTCAATTAAGCATGAACCTTTCTATCAGAAGAAAAAACTTGGGGCATCACGCATCAACTTCCTGAAGATTAGCCTGAACATTGAGATATACTTGGGAACAAGAAGCAGAAAGTAGAATTAGTTTGAAATAATTCTATCATGCATTAATTACATTTTTTATATGAATAAAATTAATCCTGAAATCTATCCCCTGTGGATACCTCTTCTACAAAGACTTCTGTATATGAGATGATGAACGACTTTAATTCATTTATCCTTTTATATGTATCTATATACCCATTTGTTGTCCCCTTTTGAGCCTATAATATTATTTCTTTTGATCAAACCCTAACCAATGATCACCCTCTGTACTGGGGGGCAAAGATGAAGGACATCTGCTCTCATGAGTGAACATCATCAATCTGGATTTTGCTATAGAGGCAAATCATAGGAAGAAATAACAAATATCACAAGATAGACGAAATACGAAGCGTTCGAAGATCAAATCGAGTTAACAACACAAATAAAAAGAAGAGATATAAAAAACAGAAAAAGAGAAAGAAAAAAGAAAGAAAACGAGAAAAAATAGAAAAAAGAAGAAGAAAATAGACAAATCCAACACTTCAAGACTAGCAGTTCAAAGATCCATAATCATTCACCAGAAGATCAGAGAACACCAAAGAAAATAAAATAAAGGACACGAGAGAAGATTCAAATAAGGCAGAGCAAGATTGAAGATGAC